ACCATCTGCAATTTGTACTAATTTTGAATCCATCTATATGTATATTGCCAGTTCTCCTTTCAAGCCTCAAATAGACTTTTCACCTGTGAAAACATATGTGGTTAACAGAAAACTGGGCATGAGAAACAGTGGAATTAGACACTTCTTTCTCACACATGCTTTTATTATTTAGACTAATATTCACTAAATATAAATTCTTTGTACTTAAAAAAAATCCTCTTCTAAGGACAGATTTACTGATTTTAGAGAGAAAAAGAGAAAGACATCAATGGAAGAGAGAAACATCAATTGGTTGCCTCCCATATACACCCTGACTGGGGATCAAACATGTGACCTTTCAGTGCACAGAATGATGCTACAATCACTGAACAGCATCTGGCCGGGGCTTGCCTTTGTTTAACTGGTCTTCATGGAATAACCCTTTGCTGCTGCTCCAGTGCTGTGCATTAGTTTCACCAGTCATCTGCTTTGCTATTATCCCTGTTTCCTGAACACATTTAGAAATTATTCACCAGCTGGTCAAACACAGAGTAATTATAGCAATCACAAAAAAACATCGAGTAATGGCAGGATAACATGATTTGTTAAGAAACTTGATAACCTTTTCAAAGAGGTAAGTGGCATTAAAGTGAGCTCTGCCATTAACTTAGTGAATGTGCTCCTTTATGGACTTTACTGATATGAATGTGAAGGGCATCCTTGGGGTTTCTTTGGTGTTAGTCTCAACAGACAAGATGCTAGTAAGAGGTTCAAGGGTCATGTCTCAGATTAACTAATGTTGTACTTGTGCAATAATTTCCATTGCATATTGAACAAGCAGCGAACTATGGCTTCTGTCTAACAGAGGCCTAAGACCACACTTAGTCCACCATCTGTTATTGGGATGATCAACTGGCCCAATATTCCTAGAACTCCTTAGGATGGGACATTTAGGAGTGTCGTCCTAGATCATAGGTAGCATTTTGCTAATCTGGGAATTAATTAAAAGGAAAGCCACATTTTAACACAAGTATATGTTTCTAGATTGGATGCTATTTGCAGATCAATAGGAGAGGTGTTCTAATGTAGTACTTAAGAGCATACACTCTAGATCCACCTTTCCTTTCACTAATGTGCTCTGTGTTCTAAGTCAAATATTATTTATACCTGCTTTTCCACTTTTAAAGCAGATATGATAATCCTACCTGGTAAAATTATGATAAAGGATAGTATTTTTTGAGTGCTTAGAACAGGGCCTTGCATGTAATAAGTGCTTTAAAAATGTTATTAAATAATGTGTCTATAGAAAAACATACATACATAAAATGTATAAGCAAATAGCCATTCCCATTAAGAATTGGATGAGAGGATCCAAGATGGCAGCTTAGGTAAACACACCTAAACTGCTGCCCTGCACAACAATTTCAAAACTGCAACTAAAAAACAAAACAATCACCCAGAACAAGAGAAATCTGGCTGAAAGGAAGCTCTACAACTAAACTGAAAGAGAAAGGATCCTTCAGGGAACAAGTGCTGACAAACTGAGGTATGGGGGCACATGCATGATATGGGCTGGCAGCAGATCCCAGCTGGCAGAGGGCATTGCTTTCTTCAACCTGAAGAGAGAGAAGCTCCCAATCTCTATGAAATACAGTCTAGGGATAAGCTAGACTTCCTGCCATCAGGTCGGAAAGTGAGGATGGCTTGCTTGCAGAACTGCATGCAAGAATAATTGTTTCCTGTGTGAGGGCACCAGACACTGGGATGCTGTCAGAGAGGCAGAAACAGCTGATGGGAAGCCATTGCTGTTGGCCATGCCCCAGCCTAGTGATGCCCTGAGACTCCACCCTGGGACTCCGCCCCGCACAATCTACAAACACACCCAAGCTCCAAGCAGAGGCTTTTGCATATGAATGGCCTTCTCTATTGCAGTTTAATCTAGCAAACTTGCAACCTGGTGCAGACAGCTCCAAAGCTTCCAAGTTCCAAGCAGGGAAGAGAGGACTGTGGTTCTTGATATAGCTCCTGCAGGGTGGCCTCAGACTGTAGCTGAACTGCACCCCATTGGAAATCCAAAAGCCGGTGTACCTAGTGGTCAGTGTGAGACACCAGATTTCAACTCCTCACATCCATAAGTGACACATTGGATGTGTCACTTGGGGAGGTGGACTCAGTGAGCACCAAAGCCCCACTGAAACAAGGCTTGCACCATAAGCGTGTCTGCAACGCAACAGTTCTTCCTTTATAGACACAACAGGTCCTCACAGCCAATTGGCCTGGAGGACAATTCCTCCTGGTGTACCAACAGCAATCAAGGGTTAACTAAACCAAGACATTGCACTCAGCCCACAAAGGAGTGTACCAAGAGCAACCACCTCAGGTGATTGGGGAAGCTGAGCTATTGGACCCTATAGGTCACTACCATACAAAGCCACTCCATCAACACAGGGAGGCAACCAAAATGTGGAGACACAAAAACATATCACAAAAGGAGAGATGGAGGAAAGTAAACTACTGGGTGACACAGAATTCAGAATCACATTTATAAGATTACTCAAGAATCTTCTAAAAAACACTGAGAAACTTGAAGAGACCTTCAAGAAGCTTTGTGAGACTTTCAAGGACCTTAATTAGAATACCAAAAAAAAAAAAAAAAATGGAAAAGGACCAGTCAGAAATTAAGCATACACTGTCTGAAATAAAGAATATACAGAAACTCAACTGTAGATCAATGTACCCCAAGAATCAAATCAAAGATCTGGAATATGAGGAAACAAAAAACACACAACCAGAGAGGCAGAAAGAAAGAAGAATCCAAAAGTATGAGGATAGTGTAAAGAGCCTCTGGACAGCTTTAAGCATACAAACTTAAAGCAATTACACGGATTTTTTGGGGTGCCAGAAGAAGAGAGAGAGAGCAGGATATTGAAGGCCTATTGAAAGAAATAATGACAGAAAACTTTCCCTACCTGGTAAAGAAATAGACTTATAAGTCCAGGAAGCACACAGAACCCCAAATAAGAGAAATCCAAAGAGGACCACACCAAGACAAGTCATAATTAATTCGCTAAGGGCAAAAGACAAAGAGAGAATCTTGAAAGCAGCAAGAGAAAAACAGTTACCTACAATGACTGTCAGCTGATTTCTCAACAGAAACTATGCAGGCCAGAAGGGAGTGGCAAGAAATATTCAAAGTTATGAACAGCAAGAACCTACAACCAAGATTACTCTACCCAGCAAAGCTATCATTCAGAATCGAAGGTCAGATAAAGAGCTTCACAGACAAGAAAAAGCTAAAGGAGTTCATCATCACCAAACCAGGATTACATGAAATGCTGAAGGGTATTCTTTAAGAAGAGAAAAAGATGAAAAAGGTAAAGGTAAAAACTATGAACAACAACAAAAAAATCAAATACATACCTACCAACAAGTGAATCTAAAAATCAAGTGAATAAAAAATCTGAAGAACAGAATGGACTGGCGAATATAATAGAATCAGGGACATAGAAAGGGAGTGGACTGACAATTCTCAAGGGGAAGGAGATCTGAGGGGTGCAGGAAGAGATTGGACAAAAATCTTACACCTATGGATGCAGACAGTGGCCAGGGGGTAAGAGCATGGGGTGGGGTGGGGAATCAGGTGGAGGGAAGCTATGGGGGGGGCGGGGAAAGAGGAACACCTGTGATAATCTGAACAAAAATGAAATTTTTTAAATATTTTTATTATATAAAAATTGGATGAGGTTGCATAAGACCTGGATAGATAAAGTGGTGCTAAGTCCAGGACAAAAATTAAAAAAAAAAAAAAAAAAAAAAAAAAGGATTCTATAACTTCTCAAGTCCTCTATTTGTCTGACGTCAAATGAAGATCATATTAAAATTCAAATTAATTCAATAGCATTTTCCTAATATATCTAGCAACTGCAGGTTCTTGGGAGTTAAGCTATGCTAAATTACTGTTTGCTATTACCTTCTTCTGCAACCTCATCATGCTCTTATTCCAGTTTTAGCTTGTCACTCTTGTAATTTTTTCTGGATTTAGTTGGTGGATAAATCAGGAAATATGAGATTAGACATTGGTGATATAGAGGTGGACATGTAAAAAACCAAACATAAATATGCAATGAAATTTCAGGTAATGACAAGTGGTGCAAATGACGTAAGAGAGAGTAGGCCTGGTGCAGAAAGTTGGGATGGGCTCTCCAAAATAGGGGGCTTCAGGGAAGCTGTTGGGAAGAGGTGATGTAGGAGAGAAAACCTGACTGATGAAGGGCTAGGAAATGGCACAGGCCCTAAGCAAAGCATAAGGTTTTTGTGTTTGCAAAACTGAGAGGAGGTTGGGAACAAGAGTACCTGGTGAGGGAACGAGGGGCAGGGACGATGTTAGGGGAGTGTTTGCTTATTCTGCACCCCGGGAGGCTGGACATTAATCTCATTTGCTTTTTCTCTCTTAGCAGCTCTGCTACAAGGCTACATGTTAGTGGTTTCTTTCCAAAGATTTGGAAAATGCAGAATGGAGTCTGACATGGTCAGAGAAAGACCTCATCATGGAAAGCTAAGTTTGGGTAGTTCTTCACTCACTCTCACCCAGCATTACTCCCTGGCTCTCTCTCTTTTGAGCCTTGTCTCCCCATGGTACTGAAGCATCTCTTGCTTCTCCAGCTGTGTCTATGATACTTTCCTCCACCTTTTTTTTTTTAATATATTTTATTGATTTTGTGCAGAGAGAAAGGGAGAGAGATAGAGAGTTAGAAACATCTATGAGAGAGAGTCATCGATCAGCTGCCTCTTGCACAGCCCCTACTAGGGATATGCCCGCAACCAAGGTACATGCCTTTGACCGGAATCGAACCCGGGACCCTTCAGTCCCCAAGCCGACGCTCTATCCATTGAGCCAAACCAGTTTCGGATCCATTGAGCCAAACTGGTTTCGGAGTCCTTCTTACATGAGGATGCTCCCCCTCCACTCCTAGGAGTAAGTTCTAGTCCTACTTTATATGTTTAAAAATATGTCCTTCAAGAAAGGAGAATGTTTTGTGGACCATTTGGTTCTTTTGTGTGTGTGGCAGTTTTTAAGTTATTAGTTTTTAAAATCAGTACTTTTTAATGGAAACAACATAACCAAAAATCTGTCACAGAATTTTGAGACCCATTAAAATAACAGTTTAATGAAAGAAAAAAAAAGAAAAAAAAATATGTCCTTCAATAAGTAAAGATTCGTCCACTTGTAGCAATAGAAAAATCTAATGGAAAATTTGAAATTTATTCTTAAACATATCTAGGACAAAATTCTTCTAACCTTATCCCTATAAGCAGAATAGAAGCATATCTTACCTCATGTTGAGAGCAAACACCCAGGAGACATGCTTTTTCACTTGTTTCCTCTTGGATACAGCTAAAGGTGCTTTTATAAGGACTACTCCAGATATGGTTATATCTGTAGCTCAGTTAAACACAGTGTTTACTTTTTAAAACTTCCCCCAATAAAGCTCTGGGATAATTAGGCTCTTCTGCAGAAGGTAAATCTCCCAAGCACAAATGATCTCACTTACTTCCCATTATTTCCTTCTCAGATACAACATCTGACCTCTGAGCCTTCTTTCTTTCTTTTTTCCTGTGTTCATATTCAGCTTAAGAAGTGAGCACCTTAGCATCCTTACAGACAGCGAACCACAGTGGGAATGATGCTAGGGTCCACACATGGCACAGAAAACTAGGAGTCATGACTATAAGTTATAGCTTTGAGGGCTTCTCCCTTTGAATTTGAACTGCACAGAGCAAGAAGCCATTTTCCACACTTCAGAGAGGCTGCATTCTGAGGTGTGGGAGATATAATTGAGATGATATGGCCCAGTCACTCTATATGGCACTCATATTTGCATGAAAAAAATTGAGGACTCTATTTCCAAGGCATAGGTGAGCAGGTGCACCCCTCATGGCAGAGCACCAAAAATGGCCATGGGTGCTGTCCCCAAACTGCCCCTTCCAGCAACTGACCTAAAGACAGAGCTACATGTGGCTACTCTTAGCTGTGCCAACACCATCGAGTTTGCCCAGGACTTTTCTGGCAGGACAGTGTGAGCCCACAAAAATCTACATTTGCACTAAAACATCAGCATTAGTGTAACAAAATGCCCTCTTCCTGTCCACATTGTCAGGCAAGTGTTCGTATTTCAAGAGTATGGGGTGCCAGTCAATCTCCTGAGCACATGGTTATGTATGTATTATGTGTAAACCAAAACTGAAGCTTCAAGCTTAAAAAAGTGTTTTTAGAAACACATGCCAACAAGCCAAGTTGTCTGTATACCTCTTTGAGAAGGTTAGCAGCTGTCAGGTGACCCAGACCCATCAAGGGGCCATCCTGACTTTCATCAAGTACACTGTGAGGATGTCTTTTTGTCTGTGTCTGGAAAATGATTCACTTTACTAACATTAAGACAGGAAATCCCTCCCAATGACTAACTGGTGACCACTTCCTCCAAAGGATCCCTCTGAGTGTAAGCTAGGAATGATGCCCACTCTTGACTGAAATGAATGACATTCTGTAGATGACGCTGGCTGAGACAACGGACCTATAGTTAATAGACAGGATGGTGAGTCCACATACAGCTGTACTTGCATGCTGTTTCGGCTTGAGTTGTACATCCTGGTCTGTGTCACCCACTGAGTAGTGATCTCAGCTGGGTGTGGCCTCACTCAGCAGGGCCCGGGAGCACAGATGGTGAGGCAGCTGAGGGCACCCTGTCCACACATCAGATTACTAGGCCCTGTTGTGAAGCCTCTGCACACCTTCCTGAGAGGTAGAAGCAAGGCTGGCTCTGATTCAGCATTTTCAACCAGGCGCATGTAAGGGAACCCTCCACTTAGCTTAAAACACTTGGAGTTGTTAATACCAATGAATGGGACACTCAGCTGATTGCTGTGCTTAGAGAAGCACACAAGCTGCTTCTGCTGCACTAGCTGTCGCTTCCCAGGCCAGCCTTCAGGGGACTTTTATAGTACCAGCATTACAGATTTGTGATATCCTTCTATTTAATGAGACAAACTCATGGTTGGCATAGGCTGACACACCAGATGTGAGCTTTAAATGAGGACTGAAGCAAACAGTTAATACAGTACCATAATTAGCAGAAAAAATCATGGTTTGATAATGTAAGCACAGATTCACAGGATTTTTTTTAATTACCTGGCAGTATTGTAATTATATATTTTTAAACTTACAAATTTGAAAGTTTTTATGGATAAAATGATAAAACTATGTGTTAGCTGAGGTATATCTTAAAATATTCCAGGGAGGGAGATAAGTGGGAATAGTATAGATAAAACAAGAGTAGTAAAATGTTGTCCTAGATGGGTGGCTCAGTTGGTTGAACTGTTTGATTCCCAATCAGAGCATATGCCTGGGATGAGGGTTCAATCCATATTGAAGAGAATACAGGAGGCAACCAATCAATGTTTCTCTCTCACATCAATGTGTCTCTCTCTCTCTCCTTTCCTCTCTTTCTAAAATCAGTAAACATCTTCTGGTGGGGATAAAAAAAAGAAAAGAAAAGAATAGTAAAATGTTAAACATTGTTTAAACTGGGTGATGGGTAGTAGCAATATTGTGATTTATAAAAAATACATACAGTATTTGGTCATACCATTGATCAAAATACATTTTCATATATATTTGGTCTTCCTTTACAATTCCTAGTTCACAGCTCCCAGAACTCTTGGAATTTCCTAAGTGTAGGGGAAGGTGGGAGGTGTCTTTTTATGTTAATGAGGTGACATTTGTAAAGCACATAAGGATGGGGGCTGGTTGCCAATGGTACCAATCCTGATCAGTACCACTCCAATGTCCTGTTCTCCAGAAAGCAGGGAAGGGCTGGAGGTTGAATCTATGACCAATAGCCAATCAGTCATAACTATGTAGCAAGTCTCTGTAAACCCCAAGAAGATGAGGTTGGCAGAGTTTCCAGGTTGATGAACATGTGGAGATTCGGGGAGAGTGTTGTACCTACAGAAGGCATAAAAGCTTTTATGCCTTTTCCCCACACCTTGCCCTAAGATTTTTTATATTTGGCTGTTCTTGAGTTATATCCCTTCACAATAAACCAGTGACTTACTAAACAAACAAAAAGATTACCTGTCAGGAACGGCTGCTAATAAAACTCTGTGGCTGTGTACAACTAAATTCTTTATGATATGAACACATTAGTGTTTTTTTGAAAGAGTTACAGGGAGTTACATTTTATATGCAGTCTCCTTGTCAAACTTCACAGAGAGCAGGATGCTCACTACCAATAAAGTATAATAATATGTTCCAACCACTTTCTAAAATCAACCAAAAACCTCAGATTCCAGGTTAAGAGGCACTAAATGTTTAAATTATCATCTGACCCTCCTGAGCCCACAGAGGGAAATGCAGATATCCTGTCAGTTTAGGATGTGTGAATGCCCCTAGATTATTTTCAGTGACAGCCCTACTGCATCCTTGGCATCCACATCTCACTGGGAATATAAAAACCGCTGTACAAGGATTACAGAAAAGTACCATTGTTATGGACTGAGTGCTTGTGTCCCATCCTCAGATTCATAAGTTGAGACCTTAACTCCCAGTGTGATAGTGTTTGGAAAGGAGGCCTTTGGGGGTGTTAGGGTGAGATGAGGTTGTGAAAGAGAGCCCTCACAACCTCATGATGGGATTAGTGTCCACAGAAGAAGAGATATTATCAGAAAGGACACAAGGAGACGGCAGTCATCTGCAAGTCACAAATAGAATCTAAGTCAGCTGGCACCTTGATCTTGGACTCCAGCCTCCGGAACTGAGACATTAGTGGCCGTTGTGTAAGTCACTGAGGCTTCAGTAATTGTTATGGCACCCTGAGCAGACAGACAGCCCATTTCATGCTTATAATGTTGTTTGTAATTAAAACAAAGTCATTCTTCATAGACCTTCTGAAATAGCAGTATTCAAGATGGAAACACAGTACTCTTCTTCCTTATCTGCAGTTTCACTTTCTGAGGGTTGTTACCTATGGTCAGCCATGTTCTGAAAATGTTAAATGAAAAATTTCAGAAATACACTATTCATGATTTAAATTGTGTGCTGTTCTGAGTAGTGAGATGAAATTGCACACAATCCCACTTCATCCACTTAGGATAGGAATAATCCCTTTGTCCAGCTTATTCACACTGTGTGTTCTCCCCACCATGTCTCAGTAGTGTCTTAGTTATCAGATCCACAGTTGTGGAACTAGTGTTTTTGTTTAAGTCACCCTTATTTTACTTAATAATGCCACATTCAGATAACTTTTATGACAGTATACTTGTTATAATTATTCTATTCTATTAGCTATTGTTGTTATTATTGCACCTAATTTATAAATTAAACTTTATCATAAGTGTGTTTGTATAGGAAGAAGTTTAGCATATATAAGATTTGGGGGTCTTAAAATGAGTCCTCCATGGAAAAGGGGGCAACAGCAATTCAGGCACTGTCCTTGTGTACCTCACTGTCTAGGACTGATTATAGGGCATTCACTTGAACCTTTTTAGGTAATAATAGATGCACTGTACCCATATTAGCTGTTAGAAATATCAAAGGAACAATTAAACTTTTTGCATTCAATTTTTACTATGTTTTTTCCTCATATGGACTCCTCTCCATCACAGAGAATTATTTGAGTGAAATAAACTAATACAAATATGAAGTTAATTACTTTGCAGGTGATAATGGAAACATGAGGTCTTGATAGTACTTGAGACAGCAGATACATTGGCTAAGGGTATAGGTTCCAGACCCACATCATATGGGTTCAAGTCCTGGGTCTGTTATTTATAAGATATGCTACTTGGACAATTTTCTTAAACTGTCTGACATGATTTCCTGGTTTCTTCATTTGAAATAGAAGACAATAATAGTAGTTCCCTTTTATGGTGGTTGTGATATTTAGATGGGGTAAGATATAGAAAGTGTGTGGAAAATAGTATGATAAGTACACAATAAATATTACCCTTTATTATTTCTTTATATTTATCTTTATTTTATCATGGTACATAATTACACAGAAGAAGTTGTGCTGTCACTGTTAGATATAGGCCACTCATAACGATTAGCTCTTGAATCTGCTGCTTCTATGTTTGAAGGCCCTGCTCAACACAGATCACAGGTGGGCTTCACTGACATGCACATTGCAGTGAAATAGATAAGGAACTGTGGTTCTGGTGATAACGATGGCAGTTAAAATGTGCTAAGGAGTTGCAGTGTACTTAGAGTTGCCCAAACAGAAAATAAATAAAAATAAAAGGACAGGAATATTTATCCTTTGAGGCAATAGGAAACAAATAATTGAAAAAAGGAAATTTAGTTGAAGTCTTGGCAGAGGCAACTTATAATTCACAAGATTTGTACCTTCCCCTCTTCACCTAGACCTCAAATATCACCTACTCTATTAATAACTTATGATGAAGTTTCACTGCAATTAGAAGATAATATAAATTAGAAAACATAATTACTGTGAGCATTGTATGTTTATATCTGAAACACACACCTTTCTTCAAGTTATAATCATGCCACTTACCAATGTTTAATTTGGGCAACTTAATCTGACACTTACTAGCAGGTTGTCAGAGGTTTGACTGCGTGCAGTCCTGTGTAATTAAGGCTTTGTAGAACCTACATTTTCTGTTCCTGAGAGGTAAACAGCCTCTCAATTCTTGGGACTTCTTGAGTGATATAGTGTCTTCCTTATTCTGAAAGGGCCCTGATAGATTTTGAGAAGGAGATGAATTAGGATTGAGCTGGTCCAGCTGAAAAGTCCATAATTAGAAAGTTGCGATTTTGAACCCCACTATGGGGTAAGTCAGTAGGGCTAAAAAGATTTCACTTAATCACATCCAATGGTTTCGTCAATCGTGCTTATGAAATAAAACACTAAAAAAACTCTTGACACCAAAGTTTGTTAGAAACTCATTAGAAATGCAGATGCATGGGCTTCCCTGGCTGCCTATATCCTGTGTGTATTGTTGCACATTGCTGAGGAAGGCAATGTGCTCAGATTCTGCAGGAGGTGGACACCAGAGCTTTGTGTTCAGGACTCTCCAGGCCTCATTTTAAGCATCTCTTCTAATTGGTCCTGATTTGTATCCTTTTCTTGTGATAAAACCATAGTCATAAGATTGCCACACTCCTGAGTTTCATTCTAGTGAATTATCCTATCTAATAAAAGAGTAATATGCAAATTGACTGTCACTCCAATACACAAGATGGCCCACCCCCATGTGGTCAAATATGGCTGCCTCCATGTGGACACAATATGGCCACCACAAGATGGCCAGCAGGGGAGGGCAGTTAGGAGGGACCAGGCCTGCAAGGCAGGGCAGTTGGGGGTAATAAGGCCTGCAAGGGAGGACAGTTGGAGGAGACCAGGTCTGCAGGGGAGGACAGTTGTGGGGGACCCAGGCCTGCAGGGAAGGGCAGTTGGAAGACCAGGCCTACAGGGGAGAAAAGTTGTGGGTGACCAGCTGGCAAGGGAGGGGACCAAGGGGTGACCAGGCTGGCAGAGAAGAGCAGTTAGGGGCAAACAGGCTGGCAGGGGAGCAGTTAGGCATTGGTCAGGCTGGCAGGGAAGTGGTTAGGGGTAATCAGGTTGGCAGGCAGGCTAGCGGTTGGAAGCCAGCAGTCCTGGATTGTGATAGGGAAGCTGGATATCACTCAAGGGGTCCCAGATTGGAGAGGGTACAGGCTGGGCTTAGGGACACCTCCTCCCCAGTCCATAAATTTTGTATACTGGGCCTCTAGTTGAACATAAATGGGACCCCCAAATTTGTATCTAGTTGATCAGAAATGAGGTTGTCCCAGAGAACCTCAAGGTTAAGCCTGGTGTCTGAATGAGAGCAGTCTTATGGATACATCTTCTATGCCAAAACTAACTCAGGAGAAAATAGACAAATGAGACTACATCACCTTTCTAATTTTTAAATTTAAAGTTTTGTTTAGTTATTATCCAGACACTTATTTTCTAATATTAGGTGTACCAGATAATAATGAGATTTTTTAATAGAGTTACACATATGTTGATATGTATGTGATTTCATGTGTATTATATTTTGTTGTATTGACAGTAAGCTTCAAAACTTCATATGTTAAATTTTCTGAAACATTAACATAATAAATATTTTTATACTTAAAATGTCAAATTCCATGCCCCCCAAAAAAAAGCATTTGCAGGAAATTTTATTTTACTTATTTATTTATTATTTTTTTAAATCAATCTTTATTATTCATATTATTACAAAGGTTCCTCATTTCTTACCCCCTCCACCAGGTTCCCACCCCACCCTCCGCCCCCTCCCCATCCCCCATTGTCCTCATCCATAGGTGCACAGTTTATGTTCAGTCTCTTCCTCCTTCCCTTTCCCCGATAGTAAATCCCTTTTCAGATAGTAAATCAGTTACTTAGCATTTTCTCATATCAATAATACCTCCACATGCTTGCAGGAAATTTTAATTCATTACTTTATTTTGAAGAAAAACTTATCGTATACTTTGGGAAGTATATGATGAACATGCTCCATCTCAAGATACTTGTGAACACTGGTTTAAATGCTTTAAAAGCGATCATTTCAGTGTGAAAGACAAAGAACGTCCAGGTCAACTGAAAAAGTTTGAAGACCAACAATTACAAGCATTATTGAAGTTGTGTGTCAAACTCAAAAATAACTTGGAGAAAGATTAAAGATTACTCAACAAACAATTTCTGATCCTTTACAAGCAATGGGATATATTTTAAAGAAAGGAAAATGGGTGCCACATCAACTGAATGAAAGACAAATGGAAAACCGAAAAGTCATCAATAAAATGTTGCTTCAATGGTAAAAAACTGTGACTGGCAATGAAAAGTGGATTTATTTTGAGAATCCCAAATGCACAAAATCATAGGTTGATCTAGGTCAACCATCAACATCCACAGCAAGGCCAAAACACTTTGGGAAGAAGGAAAGAAGGCAATGCTCCACGTTTGGTGGGATCAGGAACGTGTGGTGATTATGAGCTTCTAAAACCAGATGAAACTATTAATACTGATCGCTACTGACAACAAATAATCAATTTGAACCACACTTTGATTGTAAAAAGACCAGAAGACACGACAATTTTGCTTCATGATGACACACCATCATACATTTCAAAAACAATTAAAGACACGTTAAAAGATCTTGCCTGGGAAGTATTAACCCATCTATTCACCAAACCTTGCTCCTTCAGATTACCACTCGTTCTGATTGATGGCACACACACTTTCTGAGCAGCACTTCAAAACATATCAAGAAGTTGGTTCTCTGAATGGTTTGCCTCAAAACAAGAAAAAGGTCTTTTGAGACAGTATCCATAAATTACCTGAAAGATGGTGAAATGTGTAGTTAGCTATGGACATTACTTTGAATAAAGCACTTTTGACATTTCTCTTGTAATTATCATGTTTTTCTTTGATTACAAAATCAGTCATTATTAACCAGTACACCTAGTAAATCAATTTATTTATTTTTTCTATATTTTCTTTAAAGTGTCACTTTGCAACATAGCAAACTTTTATGCATTGTGACCTTAGAGTTTTTAGGTGTAAAAAGTTTGTACTGTCTATGTTGTTTCCTCTTTATTTGTTCTCTTTCTCACTACACAAATCAATTGAAAAGCAAGCCTGGTTGATTGTGTCTTCTTAAGGCCTCTCCTATCTGCTTCTGCACTCCATGGCTGCTTTCTTTCTTGCCAGCACCCTCTCCTTCTCTGGAGCATCTCACCATCCTTTTACAGTTATTTGCCTCTAGCTTCTTTCCCTCTATGCCATCATCCATGCAGCTACTGATATAGAAATGAGAATGTGATCCTGTTCTTACGCATCTCAGCTTCCCTTAGCCACAGGATCCTGCTTGTGCTATCTATCAATATAAAAAAAATTTTCATTATCTGGGATCACTGCTGCTTATCCAACTTTATAATTATTATTTGGCCCTTACTTTTATAAATCCAATATATTTCAGTTGTTTGAACTTATTTACTGGTCCCAGAAAAATAAGTTTATGTTTTCACATTAATGTATCTTTGTGCATAATTTATTTTTTCTGGAGAATTCCAAGTTATGCCTTAGGTCTCAGTTTTAGGTTCATCCCTTCAATGTCATTCTTATTGATCATGGATTCCCTTCTCTCACTTAAAGGTAGGTGCCCCTGAATGCCACCAGCTTCATTAATTATTACATGGCACATCACTATATAATTTATCCTTCATATATTTTCTCCCACAGAAGTTTGTAAGTTTCCCATAGGTAGTATCTTGGTCTGATTATTTATTCATAAAGCTTGAGAACCCAGTACAATACCCAGGGACATGGAAACACTCAATAAGTAATTTTTTTAAATTATTAAATGATGAATAATTAAAAGTGCCACATGTTTGTTTGTTTGTTTGCTATAAAAATTTCAAGTAATAACTTTGATCCTTTTTTGGCAGAGTTAGGTTAAATCTGTTATTCTAAGGGAATCAATTCCTCATCTATAAACAAAATTCACTGAGCTGGGCCTTGGAATAGGTAATTGTGTTATCAGAAAAGTCACATGAATTTGTTTATAAAAATGGGATTGTTTGGTCTAATACATTTTCCAAGAAGTAACTTCATATCTGTTCTAAACATTCCTTTGCTAATGATATTTTACCATTTGCTATGACAACAATGAGACAGGATTGTGTATTCTAGCTATCTAACTGTGCTAGTAGTCAGGGTTCACAACAATGATACAGCCTTTGCTCTTGTGTTTTCTATGGTAAGCAGCAGATTTTCACTGAGTGTCACCTGTCCTGAGTCCTCTGAACTATGCTTGGATTTGCTTGGATTTGTTCGTTCATATGCATGGTGTCTACCTCTTCTGAACTCCCCTTTCAGGATAGACATTTTACACCTTCTTCTCTTCTATTTTCAGTATTCCCCTTTAGTAGCTTTATATCCAGGAGGATATCTGGAATCCATATTGTTTTGACTTTGTTAAATTGACATTTGTTAAATAGAGCACAGGCTGGCCAGTG